GTTTAGGGTTTGGGTTTTCAGGGTTAGGGTTAGGGTTGTCAGTGTTACGGTTAGGGTTGTCAGGGTTAGGGTTGTTAGGGTTAGGGTTGTCAGGGTTAGGGTTGTCAGGGTTAGGTTTAGGGTTTGGGTTGTCAGGGTTAGGGTTAGGGTTGTCAGGGTTACGGTTAGGGTTGTCAGGGTTAGGGTTAGGGTTGTCAGGGTTAGGGTTAGGGTTGTCAGGGTTAGGGTTAGGGTTGTCAGGGTTAGGGTTGTCAGGGTTAGGGTTGTCAGGGTTAGGGTTAGGGTTTGGGTTGTCAGAGTTAGGGTTGTCAGGGTTACAGTTAGGGTTGTCAGGGTTAGGGTTAGGGTTGTCTGGGTTAGGGTTGTCAGGGTTAGGTTTAGGGTTTGGGTTGTCAGGGTTAGGGTTATGGTTGTCAGGGTTACGGTTAGGGTTGTCAGGGTTAGGGTTTTCAGGGTTACGGTTAGGGTTGTCATGGTTAGGTTTATGGTTAGGGGCTAGGTGTTAGGGTTAGGGGTTAGTTTTAGGGTTTAGGGGTCGGGTTTAGGGGTTAGGGCTAGCGGTTAGTGTTAGGGGTTTGGGGTTAGGTGTTAGGGTTAGGTTTAGAGGTAGGGTTAGGGTTTAGGGTTTAGAGTTAGGGTTTAGGGTTAGGGGTTTGGGTATGGTTAGGGTTTAGGGTTAGGGTTTATGGTTAGGGTTTAGGGTTTAGTGGTTAGGGTTAGGGTAAAAAAAAAAATAAAAAAGAAGGCATCCTCTTTGACCACATGCTTATCGAAGAAGTTCTGAAGCAGGTTGGTAGGCTGTTCTAAAGTCACAATGAGTGTCTTAATGGCATAGAGTGCTTGGACCTCCTTTTCTTCGTCACAGGTATTTCTGTAGCAGTTTCTCTAGTGCTTTCAACACTTCAACATCCACTAGGAGGGGATTCTCAAAGATAATTGCAGAATAGCAGACAGTCATGATGAGGAATCAAATTACTGTGTTGGAGGCTACCTTCTTCTCACTCAGATTAGCCTCGATCCACTGGCACACTGACTCATCACTGCTGTCCTCCTTCAGCAGTTTCTCCAGCTGCACCACCAAGAGGAGAGCCATCTGACTGGGGGCCTCTGGACTCTTCTCCCAGGGTGTACTCCACCTTCTGTTTAGTGATGAATGCACTGACATCCTGACTTTCAGGGAGAAATTCCTTCCAGTTGAGCCCAGCCTCTCGCCACAACATCCCCACCTTTTGGGGGCCCATGCTTTTGCATAGAAGCCCCAGGA